ATATCTTATATACCTCATATATACAAATTGATTAAGTAGCACAATAGTCATTTATATACAAATATATTATCATAATAGTCATATATCTCTGCGCATATCAAACATGGGTATGAACAATTTTAATTTATGAATCCCAGCTTGATGTTTAGAAGAGTTTGGACAAGCTAATTCAAACCCCCCCCCCAAAAAAAACATACCAAATAGCCCCGTAATGTTATTGGGATATACTTGAGGACCATAATCATTCAATCTTATATTCAAATTAAAATATTTGATGTAATGAATTATATTATGTCGACATTGTCGTGTTGTATAATTATTTAATAATAAATAAATAAATGAATTTTACTTTTTAAATATGTGATCATTATTATTTTACATAGATGTGTGAGTATTTAAAAGAGTGAAATTTATTTTATCTAATTATTAAACTATTACATCATGTGACAATATTAATTGAATATAACTACTGTCATACTAGGATTGCTCTTTATGACTCCCCCTCAAAAATGTCAGTCGATTGTCATTGTCGGTTTAGCGTGTCATCGTGCTTGTTCCATCCAGTTGAAGCTCATAACAAAGATTTTTATTAGCGACACATAAGAAAGTTAGATTGATATTAGAAAATGGCAATATCAAGTCGAATATAAAAAATTACTTTTATTTTTTCCAGTTAAGATTATTTTAAATTTGATTTTAAAGATAATTCGACAATTAATATCAACTCTCTAAATTTAATAGAAAAAATAGGCCGTCTAACTTTAATAGTTATGCATTGATTTATTGTAATCACCATTAATCTAATAGCTAAAATGTATTTAATACTCAAATTAGTTCATTAAATTAATGGTATGTTTGTGTGAAGTATCAAAAGACTAGTTATTACCCGTGTCTAAAGGCACTGTACAACGAAAAAAATCAACTAAAAAAAATGAGAATTAGTAAGAGAAAAAAGCGGTGCACATAATGATAACAATAAATATTTAGATCCGATGAATATATAAAAAATGTACAAAATTACATCTAAAAACATAACTCAAAAAATTTTAACATATACATAATTTACATATTTTATCATTGTACCTTAAAAAGCAATTACTCATTACATATTATTAATTTGCCCATAGTAGTTAAAAAAAATTTAATTAAGATGCATGTCAAATAAAAGAACGCTTTTTGATATATAACCACTCTCTCCATATGGTTAAAGTGCAAATCCTCATTCTCAATCAACTTGATTTGGCATATAACTATTATTTTTCAAATACAAATGCACACCATAGAAATAGGTATAAAAGAAATTACGAAGCATCAAAACATTCAAGAGGTTATCTAAAAAATTCCTCAAAAATAACATTAGTTGAGCTTAAGTAACTTGAATTCCAATAAGTTCCAAGCATTGAAAGTGTACCCAGTAAACTATTAAAGCACTATTGCAATTGAAGTAATTAAAGTAATTAAAACCAATCTCCCTCACGTCTCCTTTCTCTCTCTTACCTCAAAACTCCTACGCCCACATTTTCACTGGCAACAAAATTGAAACAAAAAACAATAAACCAAAGTGCAGTGAAGAATGTCGTAGTATGAGAACAATTTAGTATATCGAACTCAATTTGTAATTGCACGATTCATTTTGTGATTGTACTTATTCTGCATCACTATCCTGAATGTCCTTGTATCAATACGGATGTGAAACCGCAAGTTAGGTGATTGCACAACCACCTAGATTTTTAGAAATAGAGAAAAAAAATTATTAGTCAAATATATTACTTAAAACAATTGTATACTTCATTGCAACAAAATAAGATTTATGTTACCTCATTAGCGTATCCCCATCGTAGCAGCTGAGTTTTATTTATTCTTTTTATCTCTCTAACAATTTCAGACTAATCCTACAAAGATTGAATTATACTGTAAAGTTAAGCATTAATTATGTTAATTAGTTGAATATTTGATAGAAGTATATTAATGCATAGGCAATCGATCAATCATACCCTTTGGCACTCTATATTTTCCTTCCCTTTGCAAGAACATCTTATTTTTTCTTTTCTTTTAGAGCTCACATTCACCACCGAGTTAGATTTTATTCCCCCCTTCAAAATATCAAACGGATAAACAAAAAATTATATTCGTTAAAAAATTATTAACAATACACGAAAAAGATAAGACATAATACTACCTCAACTATGTCAAGGTGATTAACGTCACAATCATCGTGAATCACAACACCTATATTATTTCTAGGTTGAATGGGTGGGCGTTCCAATCTCTCCCGTTCCCTTCATGCCCATTGTGCCAATTGACGTTTTAATATAACATTACCATTGGTTTCCTAAAATAAAAAGGATGAAAAATATATATGTATTTTCGTGAATGCTAAATAATGTCTTAACAAGGACAACTATGATTGTGTAAGCAATTGATTAATCATACCACTTGGATCTCAGTATTTTCCTTTCTTTTGCCAGAACAGGTTGCCTTTTCTTTTCCTTTTGAGCTAGCATTCGCCATCGCAAGCTTTTCTCTTTCCTTTAAAAATGTAGATAAGTTAAAAATAATTAATAACAATACACTAAAAATAGTGTGATGTGGTACCTCCTTCTCAATCTTAAGACGATTAAGATCACGTTCACTACGGACAACAACAGATATGTTATTTTGTCGAAGCAAACGAACCTACAATTTCAATGACACTCTAGTGCTAAACCGACTGATTAAAAGAAAGATAAACAATAAAAAAAGTGAGAAGAACATTAGCTTACTGTGTGGTCTAGGTCCGTATTCATCTGTAATAAGATAGGTGAAAACAACGTACTAAGTATTGAAACATTTTTTATACAAACAAATAAGAGAGGTTTAGAATGAAATCTATAGAATAAGTAACTTATATGGCCAAAAATGGTAACTTTGTCCACTGTGTAACAGTTGTGTTTTTTCAATTGTGGTGTGATTAACTGTGTTAAACATAAAACCAAAGTTTAAGAAAAGACAATTACACCACATTGCTGGATTACCCAAAATTATGCACTAATGAGAGAGAATCTAAAAAGATCATTGCCTTATCCACCCCCCTTACCGGTGTTGTTCCCCTGAAAATTCACTAAAACCCGAGATTTAAGCAGTTTAACTAATATCCCCAAAAACTACTGAATTCTTCAATGAGAGCCCGAAAGCTCATTCATTGGAGGTCATACTTGTGACAAACAAAAACTTAACAGTGGTGCCAAAATTGGATAATAAAAATAAAACAATCAGGTGCAGATGTAACCAACAATAAAATGAAGTAAAACTGTTTTTTAGTTGACTGGGCAACATTGGTTCCAAATTTCCTTGGCAGAGAAAGCTGACTGACTGATCGGCTGATATGAATTGATGTCTGAAGTACCTAGAGCAGGATAAACCTGCTCTAAAAACTCCATATATATAGAGGTCCTTATAACAAGCATCTCCATGTTACACAGATGGATGCGCTGAGTAGGTAGAAGGGCGATAGCATTCCATCCTAATATCAAACTGTGAATAGAGTGGAAAATAACAATTGGGAAACCGATAGGAAGTCTACGCATATACCCACGTTGAGTGACTCAATTCGTCCAACAGAAGAAGTGGCAATAATGCAACTTACCCCTGTTGTGGGCAATCTACAGGGGACTGCAACTCATCCAGAGAAGAAAATTTCCCAAGGTGATGGTGGAAACTAACTCCTTAGAAGCTTTCACACTTTTCTCCAACAAACTGGATGAAACCCACCCAAATAGTGTTAATTGCTAATTGCAAAGCACTAATGGAAACGCACCACTGCTCAATGGTGTAGCAACTAATCACTCGCATTTCATCAAACAGGTTATGTGCAAAAAGGGGGTTGGGTTTGTTGCTTCTAATCTATGGCTGAGGGTGTTCGAAGTGTGTGAGAGAGTGAGTCCAAGGATTTTGAATGAGGTGGTTGAGTGTGAATCTGTTTGTGGGTGTGTGCGAATCAGTACATCAACGTTGGGACAGAGGGTAAGAGAGATGGGTAGGATGGTGTATGGAGTTGGTGATGGCAGTGATGGTCTGGTTTCGAGGCCGAGAATAGTGAGAGAAGCGTGAGAGAGAGATCGGTACACAGATAAGAATTACATCACCTAGATCTAACCTCATTCACTAATTCCTAACAAACACGAATTTTCAAACACAAAGCAATCACAAATTCACAACCCAGAGACTAAAAACAGAGGTTATTTGTGCATATACATACGGATATATGAAAATTTATGGAGTTGGTACATACACACAAAAATGTGAATATCCAAAGCGTACCTGAAATAAACGATTTTCTTTGTCCACCTTTCTAGTCTCCTTCTCTCTCTATGTCTTTCGCCTGTCTCTCTCTCTACTGCAGTTGTCCTAATGCGACTATTATGAGTGAGATTTGAGATTAAGAGAAAATTTGAAATGGATTCCACACAATATAGGTGTGATAGATTGGGAGAGAGAGGGGTGAGAGAGGCCTGAGCTGGACAGAAAAATAAAATTCGGTTCTCACTGTAGACCACCAATAGATCAAAATTTTTGAGATGATATGAATCATCTTTTATGTTGGGATTACATTGTCCGTTAGATATATTTATGTTTTATTTTAGAACGATCTGAACCTCTTTTTTTCTCTAGAGAAAATGGACTAAATTATTTCAATTATTATTTATTGCCAAATTTGGATCAAGTTTGGTCTTGAATATATTTTAGTACCGACTTAATTCTAAAGTGTCATCTAACACTAGGAATTTGGTATAACCTAATGTCATATAATATGTAATATTAAATAAGATATGGCCAGGTAGTCTAAATAGTTATGGATTGAATTATGGTTTTTTGTCTCTTTGAACTTCGTACCAATCACTAATTCCTCATTCAAACATGATATTGATATTAGAATAATGAATCCACACTTTAAATTAACTCAAATTAACCTTAAAACCAAACATACTGGAATTGGGATAGGATAAAATGGTTGATCCATGAATACCATTACTATGTATTAAAATGGAATTACTTGTCTAATCTCATACTACACTCAAACCAAACATGCACAAATGTAAACAGCCTTTTCTCAGAATGTCGCCACTTTTTCAACTTTGTCGTGGACGGGGGTAAAGACTAAGTAGTGAGCTATTCTGCAGATCATCTCTCTCTCTCTCTCCGGTCGAATAATCGGTTCTAAAGCCTCAATCTCCATCTTTGAAACTTTCCCTGAACTCAAACTGACACCTAAATTAAACCCTATAACTATACTTTCACGCCTCATTTTCAATCAAAACCAACACAACTAACCCTAGCTTTGCGATTCGGAGAGGCTTGAGAGCTAATATTTGATGAATAACTCCGATTTTGAGGAAGAAGCTTTACGAAGTTGGAGATCCTACGTCTGGTTTGTGAAGAACCCTCGTCGGAGGTTCAGCATGGCCGCCGAGGCCCAGCGAAAGCGTCGGCAAATCCAGTATTTGAGGAATAACTTCGATGTTGAGCCAAAGTGGCCATCGGAAGAAGCTTTACAGAGTTGGAGATCCGCCTCCTGGTTTGTGAATAAGCCTCGTCGGCGGTTCAACATGGCCGCCGATCGCGCAAAGCTCATGTATTGGCCAGAGCATTTATCAACTTGCTGTTCTTGGGGTCCTCATGTTTTGTGGGAAGTCCCTTTTGAAGGTTAATGGTCCAGACTCTAGTTCTGTCCTGAATACATTGATATTCAACACCTTTGTGTTTTGCCAGGTACTTTCCAAGTAGTTGAATTATGTTGTTTCCTCATTTCGAAGGCATGGACTATTCCTTGATGTCACTACTCATAAATCTGCACCTAATACATCATTCTTAATTTGTGTGTGACCTGGCTTACACCGATGACCAATCTCATATCGCTTGATAAAATGGGTGTGAAGTAGTACCTAATATAAATGGCAAACCTTCATTGCACAACGCATTTTCAAGTTGTGCGGACCTTGCTCAATGCGAAGAAGATTGTATAATATGGGTTCAAGGCATAATTGGTGTTAGAGGTGGCAAGTAGCATGCTAGGAGTCATCCCCATAAGCCCACATCAATGGCTCGAGGTGTTGGGGTTTTTTTGTGGAGTCTAGTTCTATGTTTGATCTGGACGATGGTCCGACCCAAAATAATGTTGCATGTTTTTTAATGGGAATTTTTCTGAGACTTAGACTGGCCTAAGCCGTAGGGTCTGGGCAAAATTTTTTGGGCCTATTTTGTAGCCCAGTGCGTAGGACATATAAAACCTATTGTTTTTGTGATTAGGGTTGAAAGTGTATTGTAGAGCTGCTCTCTGTATTCCTTACTCTCAATAGTGAAATCCCAGCAACTTCGTGGGCGTAGGCAAAATTGTCGAATCATGTAAAATCTGTGTGTGTTGTTCTTTCTTATTTCTCATTGTTTTATGTCCATTGCACAACGCATTTTCAAGTTGTGCGGACCTTGCACAATGCGAAGAAGATTGTATAATATGGGTTCAAGGCATAATTGGTATTAGAGGTGGCAAGTAGCATGCTAGGAGTCATCCCCATAAGCCCACATCAATGGCTCGAGGTGTGGCCAAATCGAGAATATTTGAGCTTGAGGGGTGGATTGTGATGACTCAATCCCACATCTTTCGTTAAATGGGTGTAGAATGACACATAAGTATGATCTTCAGACCCTCATTATGCAATTTGTTTTAAAGCCATGCGGACCTAATGCGAATTTGGATATTACAATATCAAATTTGATCTACATTATGAGATATGCACATATATTAGTATATGCCTATATGTAAGTTTATAAGTCAAATGTTAAGATTCATATATATCACTTTTATCATATAGTGTGATTAAATATGCTTCACTTTTGTGACGAGATTTTTTTTTCCTTAGAAAAGTTTCTCAACAAAAGTGTTATCAAACAGTAGCTAATCTAGGAAACTATTTTCTGTACCAGGTATTCAACGAAATAAACAGCCGGGATATGGAGAAGATAAATGTATTCCGGGGCATGTTCGATAGCTGGGTGTTCATGATCGTTATGGTCTCCACAGTGGCTTCCCAAATTGTTATAGTAGAATTTCTGGGCACATTTGCACATACTGTGCCATTAAGCTGAGACTTGTGGTTAGTCAGTGTCTTAATGGGAGCTGCAAGTTTGCTCATTGCAGCTCTCCTAAAGTGCATTCCTGTTGCTAAGACCAAGCACTCTGACGGCTATGAACCACTACCCATTGGTCCAGACCTGGCATGAATGGATAAGGATGAAGTTTCCCAAGAGCCTGATTGGAATAAGGCTTAGTTGAGTTGAGTTGAGTTCAACGACCCGATCAAATTCTGGCAGTATCAAATGATGCAGGGTGAAGTCAAGCCTTTGCAGCATGATTATTGAATCACTCCAATTTCAGACCAGGAGTAATATGCTTTAGTTGCATTTGATTGATTGATTGATTTATTTGAAAACTTTTCAAATATTTGATTTGATCAAATTTTGCACCTGGTTGTATATATATCTTTTTAACTAGGATTCAGCTTGAAAATTTGTTTTTCGAGTAGGAAAGGTTTGATCAATTCACGATATATTTTATGATTTCATTAGGTCTTGCTTACTGCCCTTACAATTCTCAAGAAATAACAATTGTTCATATTTCCAGATTTCATATGGTAGAATGGTTTGTTTACCGTGCTTGTCAAAAATATCCTATACTTTTAAGAAAGTCAAAATTGGCCTGATTCGAAATAAAGAGAATGAAGGTCTCGCTTTTCAACAGTGAAACTCTGTTTTGGTAATACTTTTTTAAGTGATTTTCATAACAAAATTGTTCAGAAACCAAAACCATGTTCAAATAAGGTGGGAGCAAGTAAGCTAACCCGAACAAGAAAAAAAAAAAAAAAAAAAAACTAGAGTGAGAAAATAATAATACATAAAAAGTACTTCAAAAAAAAAAAAAAAACTTAAAAAAGGTGATCAAACGATACCTTAGGTTCTAATGGACCCCTTAATTACTAGCAATCAAATTCTCAGAGGGATGATTTTGTTTAAATTTTTGGTGCTAACATATATATATGTATGTGTGTGTGTGTGTACTGGAAACTTGAAAAGAAAAATCAGACATACTCCACCTTTTTCCTTGCAGCTGTGTGAGGTTAAATTTCACGGATAGAGTTGCATTCACTTTGTGGTGATCAGAGTACAAAATGTGGGTAACCATAGCAAACTGTCCAAAGTTGACGGCATGTATGAAAGTCCAATTCTCCCCTTAACACCATTCAGTATTAAACTTCAACAGCAAAACTGCAGCTAAAACATATTGGGAAAAAAAAATAGTATACAAGACTCATGTCACTCGTGATTTGAACTTACTTGTGTCAGCAACATATGCGTAAACATTATGTTTTACTTACCGAAATATTTTTAACTTACCGGGAAAAAAACCTGGGCATAACCATTATTTGAAGTACATTCAAGTATGTAGTTCAGCTGGTCATACGAACAATTACTTGGGTACTCTATGTGTCCATGGATAATTGGAGGAACAATTGGTTACACAGAGTAGAAGGTATAAAAGATTCAGAAAGACCAATTGACAAAGTTTTTCATGTTTCGATGTGTGCAGCACAACCTGCTAACATGATTGATTACTAGATGAGATTAGTATCATAGCATAGTTCAAAAGTCAACAAGTGAAATGCTGCAGAGAAATCGAAGCCTGGCATTGGGCAGGATTCCAGAAATTTGTGTTTGGATTTGAGAATTGGATCAGTTAACGTATCAAATCTTCCATGGCCAAGAGGAGGGTGAAAGTGAGGCCTTAAGCACAAGACAATAGCTATTTTTTCATCCATCATTCCAACAACAGTAGGCCCTAAACATTTGGCCAAAAAAGGGTTGATTGAACTATTTCTATAAACTAATTGACGCGGAGTGGAGCTGAAGGATGCCAAGAACCAATCGCCGTATTCAGCATTTCTAGGACCGGCTTAAAATGGACAAAGATGCTGTATGCACACAGGCACCAGCCACCCAAACCCCGAAAATTCAAACCAGGAGCAAAAGTCGTCATTTCAGAAAAACTAGCACCAAGTTTGGACCAATTTAACTTTCATGAAACACCCATTGAGATCTTAACCAGAGAGATTTATACAAATGCTAAAGCTTGCCTACATCTAGAATTCAAGTAGCGCTGGAGAATATTCATTGATCTTTTACAAATGCTACACCTTGAAACTTTGGCCATCAGTGAAGTGACTTAACTTCAAGCTACACTACAATTGCGTAAAATGATAGATCTAGTGAGACGAGGGATCAGCCTGTCTTCTTACAAACAGCTTGCTTATGTCTTCCGTGACAATGTTGCTCCTGCCAAAAACGAATTCGAAATAATAAAAATATCATCTTCTGCAAAACAAAATTGAAAAAGCATACAAGAAAACATGTAAAACCAATGTTGAAACAAAAGCAGATCACCTTATGTACAAAATGGCGTATTAAATAAACAAAAACTTTGTAAACTGAATGTACACGGCACATCATGTCCATGCTCAATTCCCGTCTGTTCAGGTTATCTCATAGATAGTATGATCCCAACAATTATTACCACATCCATCCTAAATACACACTTAAGTTTTTTTTTCATAACAAAACAATTGATGGATGCCAAAGTTCTCCATAGAACACAATTTAAGCAAATAAAATGTCAAAAGACTGGAGAGGGATAAAAAGGATATTAAACACTAAAGCTTTATCTACTCAGCTTTGCTTAACAAAGAAACTACAAATTTTGTTCCAACTCATGATGAACTTGCACTTACTTTTTCTACTTGGGTGAGGGTTGTTGGCCATGCACATGAGTTAAAAAAAAGAGACCAAAAACAAAGACATAACGAGAAATTTAAGCAAAAAAAAAAATATTTTTGCAGGTAGTGTCATCAAGAAGTCATTTATCCCAGCAAAAGTCAGGAATCACAGGGCATGGTATCCAAACTAGCCAATAGTGTTAAGCAAGGGCTATATGAGGATCGTTACAATTGTTGATCCCATTGCATCTGCTGTGTGTTAGGTCTAAGATCGTAGATTGACAATTTCATCATTTGGATAATAGCTCTAGGATGGTTCGTGACCAATACATCATGCAAAGGAGCTATTTGTACGAAACTTCGACTTGGAGCTTCCCAACATCAACAACGAGGTCAAACCGAGCCAAGGCGAAGGGCGACTTCAACAATCAAAAATACTTCAAGATAATAAGCACACACCCATAAAACCGGCTTGCCTTGGTTTGGGAGTTAGCAGTGGAATGCCTTTTTCTGGGCTGAGACCAGATCCAGTCAAGGTCTGTAGGTTCAAAAAACTAGCCATCGAGCTAATCATTAAACCTCACCTCTATAAATACTCACTTTCTTCTATTGTTGAAGGTCAATGAATTGTTGGGTTCATCCCTCTCCTATGCTACCTGAAGATTGAAGAGAGAGAAAGGAGGACGATCACCAAAATACCCGTCTACCCACAGAGAGCTAGGCGACACACTGTGAAGCTCACATCCTCGAGCCAAATTCTCACCATGTGTTCTACTTTGTGTTTTAATTACACTCCTACATGCCACACACCTAGCTTTGCACAAGATTTAGAGGCATTGCTCCAAGGGAGCTCATAAGCCCTCTTTGAGTTAACTGAGAGTATAGAGTTTTGAGTTGTGTAGAGATTGTGGGTTAGCCTAGGTATAAAACCTTCACCAAATCTTTGGGATAAAGGCCTTGCAAGTACTACTCGGGTAAGCTAGTGGGTTGGTTCGCTTGTGATCCACATGGTTGTTTGGGTTTCCGGAAAATCCCATGTAATGTAGTAATCCCACCAAGGTGGTGGAAAAGTGGACATACACCGAGTGGGCTGAACCGCTATATATCGGGTCATGAATGTTCTTCATTCAATATCATTATCCCAAAGCATGTTTAAATGAGCAAAATATGGCATTTATGATTATTTATGTTTACAGACTTGAATTTTATGAAAAATGGTTATTTGATGATCAAGTCTTGTGGAATGAATTGTAATCATACTTGATTTATGTGTTGAATATTGTTTGGAAGCACACACACTTAAGTTTGGTGCATGTTAGAATTGAATAGAAATGAATTTGAGTTAAACCAGAGAATTGAAAGCAGGGCAGGGGGGCTTACAGAATCAGGCCAGTCAACCAGCCCTTGAACCTGTTGACCAGCTTCTGCAGAAGCAGCAGAACACATTGTTCTGCCTCTGGACTTCAAGATCAAACCTAAAGTATTTGGTAATTTATCCCTCACACTGATATGAACTGAGCCAATATGCCAATGTGAGCAAAACACTAAAAAGACCAAAAATACCCTTGGTTTGAATTATAAGAGAGAAGAAGCAAATGGACTCGAGCTAACCAAAGAGAACCTCAACAAAGTAAGTTCAAGATTTTTAGGGTAGTACTATCCCCCACCCCCAACAAAAAGCCTTCACACTATGCTCTGCATTGCTACTAGGTTCCTTGGTCAGCTACCGCAGCAGGACATCTACACATCAGTTTTCATTCGTTTTACTTTAATCTGTTCTCACATTCAAGAAGTAGAAAACTCCGCATCTATATCATCGTGCACTTTCAGAGGTAAGAGATGTCACTAGATTGAAGAGCACAATATTCCAAAAGGTGCACTCTTTGCCAACAGGAGTCTGTCTGTCTTCCTACAATTCTAATCTTCTAATCATCAAATCTGTACCAGCACTGACCTGATAAAATAATCTTGAAACGTGGGCATTTCTTGATCAAATTTGACAATCTGTTTTCAGAAATAAGTGCACTAAAGAGGAAATTCCTTAATAACTCCATATAATGTGCCATTACATGCCGATGTAGCAATCGTATTGTCCTTTATCTTATTCCGGTCCAGATTGCTTGGGTAGTGATATGAAACAATTCAAAAATATGAGACACGAACAAATAATGTATAAACTACAGCACAGAGAAAAACTATTCAGACCCACTAAATAGGACATTTTGAAATAAAGAAACAGCTTTATTAAAATATTCCTAATTTGGAAGATGGATTCTGATCTTTATCTCCAAACCTGTAGAAGACAATCTGTTTTACAAAAGAATTTTAAGTGAAACAGCTAAGGGCAATCCTGGGTGTCTCAAACCTTGAGTTGCCTCAAAAACTATAATTAAAACAACAATGGCGTGAATATACCACCTGAATTGGGACATCACAACCAGGATAGTTATCGAAACAGCGCTGTAACCATTATTACAGAATGGACAACACGTGCAAGGCATGAATAATTCGACAAAGCTGTAGCCAATCTGTTATCTAGTTGTGAGTTAATTTCCAAGAGAAGCTATGAAATAGATAGTAAACATGCAAATGTCTACGAAACATTATTTGAAGACTCACCTTCCACTAAGTTGTGGTGGAACTAGAAGACCACCTCCTGTATCTGGAACACTTCTTGAATGAGGCAAGGTCCCTCTTGGAAGTTTACTACGAGGACAAGAGGATGCCAGTCCATTTGACTCTCTCTTGCGTGATGCATTCTCAGCCATAGCAGCTGCAACTCGAGAAGAGTGATCTGAGCCATTAACCAGATGAGATGACATAGTAGGTGAATTGAAGAGTTGTGAGGCATCCGGAAGTTTCAGTACAGAAGGCTCTGATTGATCAGAGACAATATCTGTTTTTTGAGTTGACTGCAACTCCGATCTCCAAGATGTAAAGAAACATAATTAGACAAATAAAAAGAGGAGCATTGTACAGTAGGACAAGAAAAGGGGTATTGGGGAAGAGTTGTAGAAGCTAACACAAGTCAATGTAATATCTAAATTGACAGGGAAATCACAAATTGAGCAGCATAGGACCAGTTTTTCCTTAAGTACATAAAGTCAGAATACAGGGAAAAGAGAATTCAGTAATTCACAATATGGCTCACATCCACTAATGGTATAATCCACATGAGGTTCATAAACAAAAACTAGTGACCATACAAAAAAAAGTGGTCATTGTAATGTTTTTGATTTGGTAGATTAGCTCTTCAGGCACTTGCATGTGCTAAATTTTTGCTGCAGAGTTGAGGATCATTGACTATCAACCCTTTCAGCCAAGATAATCTATAATACCATGTTTCCCTCAATTTATGCGCTCACTCTTCTTTTCTCTTTCTTTGTTTGAAAACTTTTTATGATTGTGCTTGTGCCTGCAATAAGAAAAAGAATGTCTTGTTTCCAAACACCCACTTAGGACTTGCAAGAAAAATACAGATGTCCCAAGATGCCAAATATACTTCTTAATATCAACTCAGATAACTGATTTTCCGAGTCCCCATACCACGAGAAGGAGAGGGATACATTAAGTTTCACCCTGGGAACCACTTATCCTGAGTGGCCTGAAGAATCAGTTTCATTCAAGCTTATTAATACATTCCTTAATAATTGGTTCAAGAGAAGAATTACACCTTTGGAAAGGAATGCCAACATGATTTTAGAACTCCCACACATATATCTCACATCTGCAGCAACTATAGTCCTAACAATCTCAAATTCCAGATTTCATGAATTGATTCCAGATTTCATGACTTGACGCCAATTATCTCCTGCATGGCAAGCTCAAACTCTTCTTTTTAGGCATTTATACAAATGGCACTAGGCAATTTAACAACTTGACTTTGCAACAATATTCAATAAATAGGCCAACAGTTAAAAGGCGAGCTTAATATGCAACACAAATCCAACTCATTCCATTAAAAGGCGAACCTAGAAACTAACCTTTCGGAATAAAAATATCAAAAAAACACCATAGAGGGGTCGAACACAGTCTCATATAATTGGTCTGATCCATTATATGTTTTCTCACCTGTATGAATTCAAGGAAATGATCCTAACTGCTGCAACTTTGCATGGCGTCTTTAACTTTACACCACAAATCTAAATGCCTTTTCTCAGTAAATTCAGCATGTTATCAATTTCATAGCCAAAGTTACTTGATAATAGACAAAGTATTTTTAGCAAAATTTAAGGCCTTTTCAGAAGAGTCAACCTGTCACCATCCTACATATGCTCCACTGGATCTCTCCAGTACAACCCATTCACTGAAGGGGATCCAAACTGGAACAAAATACTCGTTATATTCAAGTTGGTCACCACCCATACATGGTGGGTGATTGGATTAGAAAGCATTGGAAAGAATTGATAATAATAGAGGAGCCAAACCAACACATAAGTAGTATTCACAATGATTGCAGAATTTAACTGTAATGCTGTGTGTGGCAGCATAGAATTTGGATAGTAAAATTGAAATTCGAGTATACTAGCTCAAGAGTTTGAATTGGCCGTTCTTGATTTCCAACTCCACTGCACAAATTCCTAGCTGCTATCACCATTTTCCATGGTTTATTCTTATAAGCAGTAATTTTTTTCTTCCTTACAGGCCAAACAATGGATAATTTCACAATTGCTTCTACAATTTATCGCAACCAAACAGAGAAAGAAAGAAAAGGGTCTTTCTTCGTCAAAAAGAAAACCCTAGTTTTATCAGTGTTTACGCAAATTAAACTGAAATGGGAATTTCAGAGGAAAATGAGGAAAAGAAAAAAAAAGAGTTACTGGTTCCGAGGAAGAGGTCGAGGTAGTGGATATTCCTCTGGAACGTCCTCTTTTGGAGCTTTCAAATGGTGTGTCTCTTCTTCTCCTTCTTCTCCAACCTCCGCTGCTTCGTCTTCATCTGAAGAAGCGTAGTCAACCAGCGACATCGCTCTCAACCTCGATCGGAAACTCTCTCTCTCTCTCTCTCTCTCTCTCATATACACAATACATGGCAGTAATTACAGTTTAGCCTCAAATTATGCACCGATTTCCACTTTGGTCTTTTAAACTTTTTTTCAATTTCATCCTTCACCTTTTATAAATTTTCAATTGCATTTTTCATACTCGGATATTTAACCAAACGGCCTCAAGTAAAATGGGTCCTAAGACAAGTGTCATTCGATCCTATCTGGACGATCATTATTCATCACTTTTTCATGTCCTATGTATTTTTTGGCCTAATTCAATCACTTATGTCTTCAAAAAAAATTTTAAAAAATGAGGGATTTGTTTTTATATTAATTAATTAGTTTGTACTTTTATTTTTATTAACTAGTTATTGTCTGTGTCTAAAGGCACAGCATAAAAAAAATAATAAATAATAAATATATTTATATTTATATCTAAAATTAAATATGAAATAAAAAGAAGAGATAAAAGAATTTAAACATCGATTGATAGTAAGGATGAGAGATATTGAGCAGCAATGGTGATAGTAGGAGACAATAATAGTTGTGGTGGTGACGACGACGATGATGGTGGTGGTGGTGATAGGAATGGTGGTAGGGCAGTGATGGGGACGGTGGTGTTGGTGGTGGAGGTGGAGATGGATGGAGGTGGCAGTAAGGGGTGGTGGCGACGGTGACGGGGGTGGAGGTGGAGGTGGGGGTGGGGTGGCAATAAGGGGTTGTGGCGGCGGTGGTGGTGGTTGTGGTGGCGACGACGAAGACGATAGTGGTGGTGGCAACGGGAGTGGGCGTGGTGGTGGTGGTGGTAGAGATAGTGGTGGAGCGGTTTAAAATAATATATATTTTTTAAATATTTATGAGAAATAATTCTTAAAAACACTTTTAAAAAATTATTTCAAACACACTCTTATAGGTCAATTTTTCCTGTTGAATTTAGAGTTTTAATATATAGTCGTTAGATTAACTTTAAAGTAAAATTTAAAACGATCTTACCCGTGAATAGCAAAAATTATTTTGTTTATTTTTTAGATTTGAATTGTAAACTATTTTATTATATAGATATTCACAAAATTAGAAATTAATTTTCATTTTGAGAACATTTAGACTTTTGGGTGTTCCTATACATATTCACCATGCATTACCATGAACGTAATATTTCAAAGGGTGTCTCTTTTTTTTTTTTTGGATATTATATATATAAAAAAAAAGGATTAATTGTATTGAAGGTCGTCAAAGTATGAAATTTGTCTTATTTTTGTTTCCAATAAATAATTACATCATTTTAATCCCTGAAGTATTAAATATCTTTGTATATAGTCCCTCAAGCAAACAATGTTGAGATTGTTAATGATTTTTTAGCATAAATTTTTCACGTGATACTTATATATGAACAAAAAAATAATTTGAATAACCCTCGACTAAATTTCTACTCAAACTTTGGTAAAACAACTACCCAAATTACATAATTTTAATTATGAGTAATTCAAATTTTGGTCAAAAACACATTTTTTTGTCAAGAGATATCCAAATTTTAGTCAAAAGCTACCCATATTACACTTTTTTTGTCAAGAGGTACCCAAATTTTGTTTAAGAGTTATCAAAATTATTTTTTGTCTATATTTAAGTATTATCTTTAACTTGGAAAGAAATAAAAAAATCAGACCGTATTTTTATGCTTGTTAAACAGTATTCAAGCAGCCAAACACATTTTAACAGAATTCCTAACACTTGAGTACATATTATTTATTTATTTTTTTATCAAAACATAACTTCAGTCATATTAACAAGAATCCAAAGAAATACAATCACTATCTAAAATAGCCCTTAACTCAAGTGTACATATAGGAATGGCAATTTTAGCCGCAATATGAAAACACAACTCAAAATTAATAAAATATTAGTGAGATAAAGTTGATTATTTCTCATCACAAATCTGTATATGATACAACCCATTAACATGAATAATTAAATAGCTGAGTTAATGTCATATACAAACAATACGAAATTGATACTATTAACACGTTTAAGTAATATTATAAGAATAAAATGTTAATTTTTTATTAAATATAAGAATAAAATATATATTTATTAAATTAATTTTTAATTTATAAAATAAGTATGAGCATATGTTTAATTAAGTGATAATAAAATTATAGACATACAAATGAGCATTAAATTTTGTATTCACGGTTTATATGGGTCAACATGAACACAACACGAAAATAAATAAATTGACATGATACAATTAATTAAACCAATTGTGTTAAGGTTGACTAGTACCCAACACGAACTCGAAAGAACACGACACAAATATGACATGATTGCCACCCCAAGTACATACGACTTTCATCCTCTATCTGATCCTTCCTAGAGCCTCTTGCTCTGGCCGCCCTTGGTAGTTTAGAAGATAAATTAGAAAATTGAGGAAACAATAAAACGTATATCATTTGTATCCACTACTTAACCCACCACTCAGTGATGAAATATTTTCATCAATGCAGATTTTTGGTAGCAAATGTACAGACAACAACATTTTCAGAATTTATCCAAGTAAAAACGAATTGAAAAACAAATAAATCAAGATAACACAATCTAACAAAAAAAAAAAAAAAACCTCACACAACTTCTGTCCAAATCCAGAGTCCTACATAGCATGCCACAAAATTGACTGATACAACAACTAGTTCACTTAAATCCCCTTCGGTGAATTGACAAGGTTTTCAAAGTAAAAGGGATATGGGGTATGTATTCTCAAGGCTACTACTGACCAAGAAGTGAAGCTCTGTAGAAAGCATGGTTTTGCGCAATCTCAATGCGATCCCTGGGATCATTCATGGTTTCATCCCTCAAAGCCTGAAGAATGGCCTGTGGTGGAAGCTCCCTGGAAATTCAAGTCAATTAAAAAGTGTCAGATACAATTTCCGGGAAGTGTATCTAACTATATCCACTTCCTACAGAACACTTGAGAGAGAGAGAGAGAGAGAGAGATGAAGAGAACATCAATAACTCATCAGAAATTACCTCACTATTAGTATTTTATATAGTGTCTTCAAGATGGGACAAAGCTCAACTGGAGCAACGGGCTTTTTTTCTTCGGGATGTGGAACACTCAAACCGGACTGACTAAGTAGCTCATAGAATGCTTTCACCGCCGAGATTCCCTGCATAGTAGGTAGGGAAGTAAGCACTGTTTATAAGCATAAGAAATCAGGATGTGAAAAAGAAATGAAGGAGCATGAATAAACAACACCATAATTGCATGGTTGAGATTGTGCAGACCCAGAAGGCCATCTTGGAATTCTAGTTCTGTGTCATGAATGGACAAATTACAAAGCCCATAGGGAACAAAGTATATTTAGCTTAACAATCTATTTCCGCACTCTAATTTGTGGACAGCCACCTGTTATGTTCCACCTAGACGTGTTGTTGCAGATAACACTTCCAACTTCCAGAGAGGGAAAAAGAAAGAAACAAATATGGATTTATATTTTTGTTTGGATTTATCAGTTTCATTTTGTTTTCTTTTTGGAGCATGAAGTGTTTCCCAAGTAAATGCAACATGTGACAGGTGCCTAAACAACTATAGCAAAGGGCAGCCCTTGATCTCCAGAGTCCAATAAACAAACTGTCCATAAGACTAGGTGTCCTATACATGTATTGGAATTACTCCAATGTTACTTCGGTTGGAAATTGCCTGACACCACTTTATTGGAATTAAGAGGACTAGAAATAAAATTGAAGGAAGTAGAGGAGGATATGAACACCCAAAGAAAAAAAAATTTCATTCAAGTTGATTATAAAGCACACACTCAACTTGTACTCGTCACATATTCTTCTCAACTCTACTCATTTCTAACACTAGGTCATATATCCTATTTATATAGGTCATACATATAACTATTAACATTACATTAAGGTAACATTACACCCACCAACTTTTGTAAGCTATATAATATTAAGACACCATTACTTAGGGAATTAACAACCACCAATACTATTGTGTTCCACTCCTTGCATATTCCTTGGCCTCTAGCACACACCAAATTAACACACCCTAATAATATAATAAAACTCTAAACAAGTGTATTTTCCAACAACATGATCAATAGTGTAATTGCTATGCAAATAATAAGAAAAACAGGAGAATAAAGAGATCAATCATCAAAGCTGATAAATGTGCTTGCAAGCAACTTTAGGTGCTCTCAATTAGGATTCAATCGAAAACTTAACAATTTTTGAGTCATATTGATGGTACTTCCACATATATACTATATGTGGAAAAATTGTGACTGCATTTGCTAGTCAAGCAAGAAGTTTAAAGCAGGCAAAACTCGTTTGGAAGAAGCTTCCAATAACAATGCAAGCAGCATAAGTGCTGTGTTAATTCCCTGAAAACGTATGCAAACTTGCTTGGGGTAAGCTACTAAGCTCAAAGTAATTGAATCATTTGATCTGGAAACTCTTGATAAAACACACTTTGCACTTATTCAAACCAAGCAAGTGCCCTGAAAACTTTTACTTATTGAAAAGTAGTCCTCCACGTCTAGGCAATTTAATTAGCCAGTCCATCAGATCTTCAGGGTGTATTCAAAAGTGTATTGAAATACACAAGATCAAAAGAATTTCCTCTTCTTTGACTAATCTAGTGTAGTTCAATGTCAATGCATTTTTAAACTCATACGGTTTACCACCCCTTTTACAACCAATTGTTGAAATATTCAAGAAACATACCTGAATCATCCCTTTTCCCTTTATGCTATCACCCATATCAAGGCTTAATTCCCCTTTAGCCAACTGCTGCCCATACCATGAATTACGACCCTTCAACAAGGTTACATACGTGTCAGCCAACAGAGGACCTGCAAGCTTCTCTGGATCTTCTGCCAAAAGATGAGTAATAAATATCATCTCTGATGTGCAATGAGCAAAGTACACTGATTTGCTGGTAGCACTCTCATTGGTTAGCGCTGCTATCATACCTGTCAAATCCAAACCAAGAATATAAACGGATAAATTTCAAACATGAAAATATAGAGAATGAAATGAGATTCAATCAATCAAATTTAGTATTATTTCTCAGTTTCAGATTAAGAGTAGACTAAGTGGAATCCATCAATTATCCATTTTCTATAGGACTTCATGCTGGTTGACTGATTTTTCCTTTTTCCCCTCTTTTTCTAATTCTTTACAGCATGAATGAATAAGATATCTCCAACAAGGTCAAGATCAGCATCTCCCAAGAGATGTCACAGCAGAATTCAATATACAAGGACTCAAGTATGGCATATACTCATTCCTCAAACTAAAACGGATACATACTAACAAGAACAAAAAACAAATTCATTAAGTCATAAGAACATTCAATAAAATATCAAAAGAGAACAAATTTCTGTACTATGGCTGCAAATGAATAAAGGCCCTCATGGATAGTTGAGGCTAATACTGCTAAGAAAATCAAACAATTATGCAGACCAAGCTTGAACTTGCATTCGTCATCACTAACTTGGTTATATTTAATGTGTACGGAAGATAGAAAATTCCCCAGGAGATACCCATGTATAACATTCTCATAAATCCAAAAGTTCTAGATCACAGCAAAGAAAATGGACTTTACCAGCTCCAATGGCATATACATTCTTTAAGCCACCCATAACTTCATGAGTGACAAGATCACCATTATCCCAGACGATAAAATGGGGCTGCCTCAAAAACCTTGCTAATGGTTTCCTCCACTTTTCAGCTCCACATATCCGAGCATTAGCATATTCCTTGTTGTAAATTTCTGCCGCAATATTAGGCCCTCCAAGATAGAGAATGTTCTCCATGGGAACTTCAGCTGCACATGATAATTAACATAAGAAGGGGACAAGACGAAAAAAAAAATTGAAACAACTAAAGAAAGTTAAAGGTCACAAAGGCATTGGAGTTCCAATAGTGAATTGAATGCCAAACCTATAAGCAGACAGAACAAAAACCAAAATAATCATTTGCAGGAAAAAACAAAGCAGAAACAGATGCACGCCATTGTTACTGTTTAAGGAGAGATACTTTAGGATTTTCCTACAATGTCATCTGCTGCTGGGTGAAAATTCTCTAATAATTCAAGACACAGTGTGATCTGGTTCTTATCCACAGTTGCAACATAATACGCACATAAGTGCGCATGTATGCACATGTAAATGTTTGCTTGCACAATCCACCTAGACTAAGCTTCGTGATAAACGTTGAATTGTATCAGAAAAAAGTATGCCATTGACAAGAATAAATATTCTCAACAAAGAAATTACATATGGAACCCCAACCAGACTCGGTCTAGGTGTAGCCTCAATAGAAAGCCATATATTTATAAACAAATGATTTATGGGGGAAACAGGACGAAGTCTTACTTGCTCGATTGATCATTTGAGTGGGGGTAATTATGCGAGGTTCAGGCTCCAATTCAGCCTCTATACCCTTTGCCAAAGAAATGATAACTGGCATCACAACTCTTTCTTTCCAGTACCTACGAATTTCTCCAAACACCTCGCGTGTTTCTGTCGATGGCAAGCCATTGATCACAATATCAGCATCCCACACAGCCTCCTGCAAGTTGGTAACAACCTTTAAAGGACAAAGTGGAGTGTCTATCATATTCAAGCAAAAACCATCTTTCAAAATCTCATCAGCATACAGAGTTCGATCCCCTAATCTTCCCTCTACATATTTCAAGTACGCGCATCGCCTAATCAGTCTCCTCAACACATCTTCCCTTGAATTGATCACCTCAAATAGGTGCTCGGCTGTTGCTCTGTCAACAGTTCTTCCAGGTCTTCTCCATATCCTAATTAATACTTTATGTCGGAGGTGACGATAGCTATCTTGCAACATTGCTGTGAAAACACTACCCCAAGCACCTGCGCCAACACCAACAATCCTCAAAGGGTCACCATCTGCTTTTCCAAAAATGCGACGAATCTCATCAAGCTTTTCTTCTAATAACCCATTTGTGTTCTGAATCAACCCATCAGAGTGAACATTGTTAACCTCTCCCTCCATGGTACCATCCATCTTTCAATTTCACTTGAACTTCTATACTAAGACAAAAACACCATCCAAAACAGCAATTAAAATATCCGCACACACAGCCTTCCAGGTATTTTTCTTTTAAGCTACTAAAAACGCCTGAATTTCAAACTTTTGGGTTATGAATAAGTATTTGCACATTTCAGAACAACCCCGCTCTCATATTATATGGGTTTCGTCCCCTTATACCACAGAACTCGATTCAAGAAGATTTCATAATGAAAAATGTAAATGATTTTACAAGAGGGTTTTTCACCAAAACAAAAGCAGCTTCCTCGAATCAGATTCTCAGCCCCCTCGTGACCTCTAATTCCCTTCTTTTCTTCACACTTGGAGCAAAACGCGAATATAAAAAAAATTTATCACATGGGTTTTCTCTCCAGCCAATCAATCACCGTACACCGACTAACTTAGTTCAAGATTTAGGGAAATTTCAGAAGACCAAACTTTGAAATACCCGTCTAAACAAGACGTGAAATCAATGAAAGGAAAGCGAAACCACCTGTATGAATTAGTCTGGTACTGCAAAAGGTGATGAAATTGATTTGGGGTCTTCCGTTTTCTTACGTTTGTCAGTCTAAAAAAACACGCAAAAAGCTTCGAAGACTACCGACTACGCTACATATGAATGACGAAATGGGCGTTTTGGAGAAGGAAAGCGTGTGAGGATTTGGTTTTGAGTTTTACGCCATTAGTTGATGAGAAGCCAATTCTTTTTCGTCTGCTAGAAGAATGCAATTCTCTGTGTCTCTCTGAACACTACAAGAAGACAAATTGAAGAATGAGAATATACAATCCTTCACGCATACGCGACGGAGAATTACATCAGAACCATTTTAATAAAACATTAATAAGTGTAATCTATTTTTAAGGATAAAAAGTAAAATTTAGAGAAAATTTTGATTTATCACTTAAATACTCAGATTTTTTATATTTAAAATATTATATATAAACCCTCTAAAATTTATATACGTATAATACTTAGACCTCTGCCCTCCTAATATTTTAAATATTACACACAAATCTCTTAAAGTTCATATGTACAAAATATTTAAACATCTATCGTTAATGTCAGTCATTAATAAATTACATTTAGACCTCTAAAATTTATAGACATATAAAATTTAGATTTTTTTAATTAAAATATTATACTTAGATCAAAAATACTCTAATTAAAGATAGAATATCAAATATTTTAAATTTTACAATCAAATTTCACGTTCTATTATGACATTTATTAAAATAAAAATCTAATTTTTTCTTAAAAAATCATAATTAGTGTACAATTATATTATTTATTCAAATAAAACTAAAAAATTAAACGATGGGTGAAATGGTAATTGATACAATATATTCTACCTTTAATTAAGATAATTTGTTTGTTTAAATAACCAAATTAAATTCCAATAGATAATATGTTTCAAGGTTGTTATATATTTCAACTATAAATTGCCTCACTATGTATATTTGTGTTTATTTGTTTGATTAGTTGGCTGATAACATATAGTTATAATATATTAATTTGACACCTAGAGGACAACCATGTCGAAACAAAAAATTAAAAAAAGAAAAAAAGATCAACTAAAGGAATACAAAAAAGGGACAAACTAAAGGAAGTTCAAAAAGGGACCAAATAAGCAAGAAAATTTAATTTTAAATAAAAATTTTAAATACTAATCATAGAATGTCTCATTTAGTGATATCTACGTCTTCAAATTGTCTTGAGCTGCTCCTAACAACTGTTTTATGAATACACCCTTAATTTTTACATGTATATACATATTATCCGATACTATATTTTAAGACAACATGTGTGTGTGGCACCCCCCACCACGTCCTCATCCAAATCCACCCTACGTCCTCATCTAGCAACCCGTCCTCATTATCGTTGCCTCAAAAGCCAAAAAAAGTCTAAATTGATAACGTTTATCCAGTCAAAGTTCATCAAGCAAGAGATCCGAAGCCGAAATTGAAGAAATGCATGGATGCATGCTAGTGTTCAATGGAACTTGAAATCAAAGAAAATGCATATTATTGTTGAATGTAACTTGAAATCTAAGAAGCCCTAAAAATTAGATGAAATGACCAACCCAACCAATGGATTGAGTAAAGATTTAGATTATTTTTTGGGACGGAGCCAGAAGTTTATCATGGAGGGAGACCAAATCCATGCATAGAAACTCATATTTCTATTGTTGTATTCGAGTTTTTAATATATAAAAATAAAACCATTGTATATATTCAATATAAAAAAAGATAGTTGCAAAAAAGTGAAATGAATGAAATAAAAAACTTGTATTATATATCCCGTCAATAGTAAATCAAAGTGAAATTTGGAGATCTTTTTTTTTTTTTTTATCACGGAATTTATCAATGATTGAATTCATACTAAATTTATTAGCAATCTCATTTTCTATGTACACAATCAAAGTCTATGAGAAAATATCTTGTGAAACTTAATTTTAACAATATTCATAATTGGGTCGAGAAAGCATGTTCTGTAGTTGCAATCGCAGTAGAAATGGGAAGACTTGGTACAAGTCTAACCAATCTAGCAAGAAATGGCTGTGTGTTGTTCGTCAATTGCATAGCCAGCTGGTTTGCCTTTTGAAACTCCTTTGACTTCTATGATTCCTCACTTGTAGACTCTTCGTGTGTTTTAGAAGGCCTTATATTTCAATTCACTTACGACTCTTGAGTGACTTTATTAAGATTTAGATATATTTGAAAAGGTAATATTTTTTTGAGCTTGATGATCGAGAATTATGTTAAATTGGGGAAAATTGTTTGTTTAGAATTCTAACTAGGGTAATGTTTGTTTAGTCATATTATCTAATTATTAGTTATTACATGTGCCTAAAGGCACAGAATAATAAAAAAAATAGTCATCAATAAATATATTTATATTCAAACTTAAAATTAAATTAGAAATATAGAGTAAAGAAAAAAATTTAAGTACCGGTTGTAATAGGAGTGAACGATGATAGTGATGGTGGTGGAAGACGGTGGTGGTGACAGTCATGGGGTGGCAATGGTGATGCTTGTGGTGAATTTTTGGTGATGATGGTGGTAATGACAGTCATGAGTGACGACGATAATGATTGTGGACGACGATGATGGTGATGGTGATGGTGGTTGGCAATGGTGGTGGTGGGGAAACCATTGTAAACCCCCACATTCTTATATTTATATAGCAACGTAACTATGTTTTGAAATACTAATATATGTGATGATATATGCATGAACTATGTGGATTGTAAAAGTAGAAATAAAAATTTTAGGTAAGGTAATAGGGTATGAATTGGAAGTTGGGAAGTATTCTGGAGTTCAAACACATTTTAGATAAAATTTGGGTAGAAAGGATTTTGGACACTCTCTAGTATTTGGATCATAACTTTTTACCCTGATGTCCATTTAAGCTGAAATTTTTACATTAGATAGTAGACTTCTAGGGCTACAAAAGTATACATTTCAAAAACATTTCAAATCGACCTCTAAATAGGCCAAAACTTCACTGGAAGTTTCAGCAGAAACAGGAAGTACGTTTGAACGTGAAAGTATGTTCGAACGACCTACGTTTCGAACGTGAAAGTCCGTTCGAACGACAATACGTTCCAATACTTTTGTCTGATAGGAAAAACAAAAGTACTGAGAGCAAATGACGTTTGAACGTAAGTTACAAAATCTGGGTTTCAAAATCGTGCATAAGATTCCATTTCTTCCACTATAAATACTTAAGGACACTTTTATTAGCCTCATGTCAACATTTATAACCTTAGAGAGGAAGAAATAAGGAGAAAAATACAAAATCAAGAAGAATTTACACATTGAAGATGATCAAAACTTCTACTTTTTCAAGAACACCAAGGAAGAAGAAAGATAGGGGTTTCTTTCCACTCTTGTCCATTGAGGCTAGGGTTTATATCTATGTATGTTTTGCTTCAAAATCTTAGATATATATTATGATATCCTTATTTCTTGATGTTCTTGTAAACCTTCTCATGTTTGAGTGAAGTTATGGGTTGAAAGCCATAAAAACCCTTGTTTGACATCAAAACTTAATTTTCCAAGAGAAATTGATTTTTCTCTTGATTTTTCCTTTGTTCTTGATTTAAAAACTCTAGTGTTTGGTATTGAACAATAAAATGGTATTTTTTATGATCTCTTACATGTTTTTTTAAATTGTTCCATTGGAATAATACATGTGAAATTTGAGAATTTTTGGGATTTGCTTGTGATTTAAGAAAATGGGTTTGTATTATATCTCTTGAGGATGTTTGGATGACCATGGGTGGTCATTGACCGGATATCGTAGAGTGAGTAGATGCGTTTCTTACTTCGTGAGGGTTTGAATTTTTTCTATCACTCGTAGTGGATGGGTGTCTTGCGAAGATCAAACTACTATTCGCTCATGGGTATTAAGGCTGAGGGTTAATATATTATTCTTAGGTTGGATTCGTCACTGTCAATGCGTTGGTATATGTCATTCCTAAAGTTGGAAATCCCTGCGAGGATTGGATGTGTGTATGTGGGTCAGGATATTCTTGATGTGTTTATTCATGCGATGTCATACATCATACCTGAGATACAGGTTGTGGTTTGATATACATTGTGGACTATTATTTATTGTGCAAATGGTTGGTTATGGTTTATTGTGGAAAGGAGTTTACGGTGGAATTAGTTTGTTGTGAAATTGGTTATTGTGAAAATGATAACTTGTTAGAAATTGTTATTTTTGGGAATTGGTTTTACTTGTTCATTTAATTATTGCTATTGTGTAAACTTGAGATCCATTGAAATGTCTTTGTTTTCCTTTAAAAGCTATATATGGTATTTGTAAAATAAGACCGACCGTTTTATATGTTTTTGAAACCTTGTTCGAGTTTGAGATGATTTTTCTACAAAGTTTAGTGCTCACCTTCTACAAACAATATCTTTTTTAGATTATGGTCTAGAGGAGGAGCTCAAAGTTGATGAGTCAATACATTGGAAAGCTCCAATAGATAAAAACGTGAATCCCGAGGTGGACGTTTAGAACTATATTCTCTTATGTTCTAGAATAGGAAATTCATTTTAAGATAATATGAATTCTAATATTTTTGTGATTCAACTGCAAGATAATAGTTGATTTTTGGGATGTAATTGTCATAGTTGGACATATTCTTTTGAATGATGTTGTATATATTGTGGATGATGAATAAAATTCTTTTTAATTATGAAGTTTATTTAGTTACTCTCATGATGTGAATGATTTTTAAATAGTAAGGTCGTCCAAGGGAGATTTTGGGACGTTACAGTTTTTGGTATCAGAGTTTAGGAATTAAGTCTTACATGGGAGCTCTAGGTTATGGATTACCACTAGAGAAGTAGGACTAGCTTGAATAAAATTTTTGACTCAAATCTTATACAAGCCTTATGTTTTAGATTAAAATGATAGTTAGGAAGTCTTGTACATCAAGGAAACTAAATGTGAATTGATGTACAAGATGGATGGTAGGCATGGACGTGGTGGACAAGCAAACCCACCACCACCACCACCTCCAGATGTCATGAGTGGCATTTATCAATGTCTAAGGGAACTAAACACTTTGGTACAACACCAAAATGAGAACAACAATCATAACGGAGGGTTCATCCCTTAGCTCAGGAACTGGGCAATGAGGATGAAAATCGAAGGATGATAGTTCTTTGAGAATTTTTGAGGCAACGCCCACCTACCTTTCAAGGAAGCTCTCACCCCTTAGATGCGGATAAGTGGATTCACCAGGTGAGGAAGATGTGTGATGGC